GTGTTTCTTGTTACTCAGGTGTTACCTTTTAGATTGTTTTTTTTTAAACATAAAATAGCTCAGAATGCTTTACTCTTGATTTTAGCATTGGGTTTCACCTGTAGAGACTGAATTTCTTGTTAAAAGGATGAACAAACATAAAGATAAGAGAGTTGTCTGTGAGAGAAAAGCAAACCATTTTGAAAGTGAGAAAAGAAGGAAAATGAAGCCATTGGTCAAACATAGCCAACACAACAATTTGTCCTGAAAAAAAAGATACTACTGGTGTACTGAGCAACAGAAATAGAACAGGTTGGCCAAGGAAAACAACAGCAGTTGATGACATAAACATTGTAACAGCTGTGAGGAAACACCCCAAAACAACAGTCAGTGACACCACCAACTACCTCCACAATGCAGAGGTGAAGGTTTCACAATCCACTGTTCAAAGAAGACTTTGAGAGCAGAAACATAGAGATCATACCACAAGATGCAAACCACTCATCAACAGTAACAATTGGAAGGCCAAATTGGAATTTACAAGGAAGTACAGAGATGAGCAACAAAAGTTCTGGAAGAAAGTTTTATGTACTGATGAGGCCAAGATTAATCTCTACCAAAGTGATGGAAAGGTCAAAGTGTGGAGAAAGAAAGGATCTGCTTATAATCCAACACATACAAGCTCATCTATGAAGAATGGTGGAGGAAGTTTCTTGACTTGGGCTTGCATGGTTGCTTTTGGAACAGGTTAATTCATATTTATTGATTATGTAATTCATGATGGTAGCCGCAGAATGAATTCAGAATCCACAGAAACATTTTGTCTGCCAATTTACAGAGAAATGCATCAAAACTAATTTGGAACAAGTTTATCATTCAGCAGGACAATGACCCAAAACATAATGTCAACACAACAAAGGACTTCATTAGAGGAAAAAAGTAGACAGTTTTAGACTGACCAAGTCAATCACCAGACCCTAACCCAATAGAACATTCATTTCATCTCCTGAAGAGAAGACTGAAGGAAGAAACCCCTCAAAACAAACAAGAACTGAAAAAGGCTGTGTTAAAATTCTGGTAGAGCATCACAAATGAAATATGCAACAGTTTGGTGATGTCAATAGGTCACAGGCTTGATGCAGTTATGCAACCAAATATTAAATGTTATTTACTTTAAGACTATCTGTTCTTTTACATTTTCTCACCTAAAAAAGTGCTCTGATACAAATGATGGTATGCCCTAAGCTGTTTAACATATATAAATGTAAATACCAGGAAATAAAAGCTGGAATTCATCTTTTGGTCTTAAACCTAAATGTCTTCAGGGAACAACAAAACCCAAAGAATTGGCCTTGGCATTCCAATACTTTTGAAGGGGACTATATATGTGTCTGTGTGTGTGCATGTGAGTATGTGTGTGTATGTGTGTGTGTGTGCATGTGTGTGTAAAGGAGTAAAGTGTGTAAAAACAAAGTAAAAAATAATCTTCAAACACAGCTCTATAAATTCAAATAATTTTATTATTAGGTATAAAATAATTTTTGTTTTAAGCTGAAAATTAGATTATAAAGTTCCTTATTCAGTTGGTTCTTAGACTTGTGTTTAGGAAAATAAATGTATGCAAAGTTCATATGGAAATGAATTGTATAGAGTGGAGCATATGTGCGTGATTATTGCACAAAAAGCCAAAACTTACATTCTGTTATGTGTGCATAGCATAAAGTATCAGCAGGAAGAGGCTGTCAGGCAATCAGCTAAATATCAGTGCAAATAAAATCTAATGACAACTAAACCTATAATATGTTCTGTTTTATAATATAACCGATGCAAACTAGTTTCTGGAAATACTTTTTAAGCAAGCAAAAATTTTACAAAACGAACTTTAGCTCTCAATAAGTTTTATGAGGAGTTGAAAATTGAAAAATCAGTATTATTCACATACCAAAGACTAAATTATTTATTTGGGATCACAGGAAGTTAAAAGATAGATTTATTAAATTTAAAAGTTTTATTGGTTAATAATATATTTCCTAATTTCTAATATTGATTTTTAAGAGGGAAAGTTGTTAATCATTTTCCTGTATGTGAGCTTTCATTTTTTGAGCATATGACAGAAATGTTGTCTGCTTTTTCAAAGCTTTTAAGCTGCATCCTAAGCAACCTCACTGATTGGTCAATAAAAACTGATATGAAAATTTTAATTTGACATTGATGTTATACCATTTTTGTATAGAAATGAGGTGATGTCTTTGTGATCTGTTGATTTTTTTCTACAATTTTTAACTGGGTCTACAAATATATATATATATATATATATATATATATATATATATATATATATATGTAGAGAGAGAGAGAGAGAGAGAGAAATAAAGAAAGAGAGAGAGAGAGGGATACAGATAGACAGATTGTGGTTTTAAAGAAAGATGCTGAGAATACCATGGACTGAACATGTGAGCAACAATGAAGTTTTAGAGAAAATGGAAACAAAATGGACACTTATACTTATCATCAGAAAGAACAGAGAGCTGAAATTTCTAGGCTTACCTACTAAGGAAATAGACTTTGAAAGTTTGATACTCACAGGACATATTGAAGGCAAGAGAGAAATAGGAAAACTGTACAGTCTACTTAGTGAGCATGTGTAAATGGATATCAGAACAGTGTTAGGGAGAGATAGCAAAAAGTTAAAAATTACTATGAGCTCAAAAAGACAAGAAACTTTGAAGAGCCATGATTGCTTACATCCTGGAGGTTCAAGGTACATCGAAGAAGAATAAGTGTAAGCATTACATGAATATTTGTATATGCAAATATGAACCTTTATATTTATTACTAGTTGTTTATTATATGCATGACACAGCAATAATGATAAATTTGGGACCATATATGTTTTTATATAGCATTGAGTAGCATATAAAAACATCAAATGGTAGTATATATATATATATATATATATATATATGTGTGTGTGTGTGTGTGTATATATAAATATAAATATATATATATATATATATATATATATATATATATATATAATTATTTATATATTATATGTGCAGTACTTATTAGAAAGCACTCAATATCAGAGATAGAGCTAACAAGCGTGAAACTAGGGTCACAAACTCACATTAATCCAACCAAATATATATATATATATGTGTGTGTGTGTGTGTATAAAAAGTTGTGAACCACTTACAATATTAGTTTTAGACCATCAAATATACCTTGCAGATATTCATGTATTTGTGAAGATTTCCAATCACATATATATATATATATATATATATATATATATATATATATATATATATATATATATATCCACTCATGTACATTAAAAGAAAGATTTGCATGTATGCGAGGATTTATGTTCATGGGCTCTCTTTATAATGGCATGTGTGTAATGTTACATGCACTTACATGATTAATTGTGCAAGTTTAAAATATATATTGTGTAAAAGAAAAGTACACATTTTGAGTGTTTTATGTCAGAAAATTTAGGCTCTGGAGATTATGTATTCAATAAGCCATAATCCCTATCTAAATCGAAGAAGAAAATAATGTGTAAATATTATTGTCCTATGGCCCATTTGTGCCCAAAAGGAAACATTAACCAAAGAAAAAAATGGCCACCTCTTTTATAATAAAGAAAAGAAAATATAGAAACAATTGAAACAAATAAATTGCACTTTTGGCAGCTCTTGTAAGATTTTATGGGAAACTGCCATTGTTGCTCATTTGGTGCTTTTTCCTGTCTCGGAAACAGAAATCATTTGATCACTAGTAATTCATACATTCTCATTCAACAAACTAAAATCAAATAAACCAAAACAAAAGCATATTTACTTTACAAAATACAAATAGAACAACTAAAGAAAAAAGATTTTATGCAAGGAATTAAGTATGTCACCATTCTCTTACTAACATTTGATGAAAATGTGATATACAAATATTGGGCCATTATTGTGCTTCACAGCAACCAAGTAAGGGTTATATAAGTATATCATTCTGACAGTGATCTACATTGGCTGCAATGTATGCATATTCAACACCAATATCATAACGTCCTAACTCTGTTTAAAGCTGTGGTTCTGAAGCATTTTCCTCTGGCCCTCATTTTTGGAATGACAATTTGCTCATGCCTCACCAAATTTTATGTGATACAAAGTACATTTAAAAATAAAAAAAACAGGGTGTGGTTAAAGGGAGATAACAGTGGATTTGAAGTCAGAACATTATCATTGATAAGTCTCTCCTTCAATTTGCAGACCCTAGTTACTATATTCTTAATATTTGATATAATGCAAAAATATCACAATGATAAAATCGGTTAATAATTATTTATGACTATTTATAATGAGACTCATGCATGCAATCACAAGTAATCCATAATAATATTTTAAATTTTGCAATCATATTTATTTTTGGCATATTAATTTTTTAAAAACTGTTTCTAAATCTTTGATTGTCTTTCAATCATTCTGCTTTACCTGCTACCCTCTTCTGCAGCACCTATGAAGCACAAAGCACCTATGAGGTGCACAACACCATTTGGAAACCACTGGTCAAAAGGAAGTACCATAATTATCATAGTTCTTATTTGTATTTACATTGCCAAATATAGAATAATTTAGGGTCCTTTGCACATGAACTTGAGATTATACTGTTGTTCTTTCTCTTCTCATTTTCTCTTAATTTTCATTTGTATTGTTTATTGCATTATCCTTATATTATATTGTTGTAACCTAAGGAAGGTTACTGAATAGAATAATAACATGAAGGTTGGTAATAAATGATAATACTTAGAACAAGAATAACATATATAAGATTTGCCAACAGCATGTAGAAGTAGTCAACTGCTAGAAGTGAGTCAAGTGAATTCCACAATGAATCTTCAACTGCAGACCAACATACAGTATTTACTACTGTATTTATGTGAATGGAGACATACCCATTATCATTCATAGGCATGCTGCAACATATATCAAGGGAAAGTTCTATATGATAACAATAATGCTTATGGCCACATCACATTGAAACACCAGTTCCCGTATGATTACCAAAGCTAAACAATGTCAAGCCTTATCAGTAACTAGATGGGTGACCACTTGGGAATGCTAGGTGTTGTAAGATTGGATTTGTGGGTAGTGTAATGGATAATGTCAGAGGTAGGAACACAAAGAACATCAATGTCATGATAATGGTTGTGTGTTTGTTGCCAGCTACATCAAACTGAAGTAATCTTGGCATCAAGCTTCTCACTGCAAAATTGACTCCTCAGTAAATATTAACGGTCTATAAAACACTCAAGAGTACATCTCCCTGGCATAAATGGTCACCATGTTTGTCTCCAACTGGATACAAGGTCAAACGTCAATATCCCAATGCATGTGATACTTATTGGGTCAACCCACAGTCCTACTAACAGATCTAATGGCCTGAAATGCTTCTGATGGTCCTTTGAGAATCACTGGTAGCATCCTTTGATTGCTGGACAACTGTATAATTCAGGGTGTTGGTTAGCTCTTGTAACATCCTGGGCTGGACCTACTAGGAATGAATTGAATCAAACATTTACTGTTGCTGAATCAATTCTTAAATTCCATTTGCAACCAGATGCGCATTAGCTGGGCAGCTAAATCTGTCACATGACCACATGTTTAGTATGGACTTCTGCATGCCCTTCAAGAAAAGCATGCATTGGTTTTCACTGAAGGCATTGGCTTTTGTATAAAATCTGAGGCTTCCCTCACTCTGCACGTGGGTGTGCAACCAATCTTCTGTCCAAAACACCTGAAGCAGGAACTGACATGACTAGTACAGGCTGGTGTTCTTACATAAATGAACTACTAGTCATGGATAGCATCCACTGTTGTGGTCAAAAAGGCAAATGGATACATCACACATTTTGATCCATACCTACCTTGTGGCAATAGATTCAGGAATTGGGGCTTTCATTTCTCAACATTTCCTGGGTATATCACAGGAAGTGATCTCCCATGTTGCTCACACTCTTAAACAGGCCAAATGTAATTACAGCCAACTAGAGAAAGAGGCACTGGTACTAATCTTCATGGTCAAAAAGTTCCACAAGATGCTATACAGTCAATATTTCACTTTCATGACTGACCACAAACAACTGCTGTGTTTGGATTGAAAAAATAATGCTGGGTGACCATACTTCTGGCAAATGATTTTCCTATTCAGTACAAATCCACTATGAACTTTGGTAAAATTGACATCATATCATAGATAATCAACAATCAACAGCCACCAGATGAGAATGCAATGGTTGCTGCAATCAGTATAGAATTAGTTGTCCAACCACACACTGTGGTTCACAGCAAGAGAGATTGAGGAACAGAAGAAACATGACTAAACCCTCCAATAGGTTATCTATTTATGGGAACTTGGCTTGAAAAAAACAAGGAGAGTTGAGGCACTTTTTTTCAATTAGTATGAGTCTCTTTCTATGTTTAATGAATGTTTATAGTTATCCTTTCATGTCTCCAGAAGCAAGTACTCTAACAATTCCATAGAAGACATCCTGGTATCAGCTACATGAAATCTATTGGATGGAATTATACCTACTGGTCTTCCATGGACACTGACTTGAAAAAGTACTGCAAACTGTTCCTGTCTTCTCAAAGAACCAGTGAAATGTGCAACTCAGTCATGGCCACACATACACCATTTGTGGTACCAGATTCATATCAACTTCACTGGGTCAGTTGAAGGAATTGTATATCTGGTCTTAGTTAACATTCTTGAAATGGCCAGAGATCCATGCAATTAAGCAACTAATGGCAGACACAACTGACCAAGCTGTGCAATTGTTTTAGAATACCAATGAATAGTGTCATGGATAATGGCTTACAGATTTGGTCACTTCATATCAATTAATTGTTAACACAGGACAGAAATCAATCAAAGGATCTTCAGAAACTATAAACAGGTTTCACTTTCTTATTTGATGTTTTCAAAATACACAACAACTGCAGCTAAGAATGCACAAAACAAATGAAATGCACAGATTTATTTCACAGCCAAAAAGATTATTGACACAGATAAGAACTCAAGTGAAGTCTCTAAGTTTCAACCCATGGAAGAAATCTTATGTCTATGGGGAAATGAACAATGATACAAAAATCTGATTACATCATTGTTAATGGACAATCATCCGCCACCCTAATCATGCTGCACAGAAGTGGGGCATGTAATTGACTGTCAGCTGATCCTTGCATCTGATTGGCTGTTTTCTCAGTGACATATGTTCACCTGTGCTCCATATGGACAGCACTGTTTTTTTACCCTGTAGGCAGATGGTGTTTTGATGGATTTTCATGGCTTCATTTTTCGATCATCTCACCAGTCTTTAGGATAGTCACAATACATCCCTCCTTGAACCAAGGAAGACAAAAAAAAATAGAAATTTATTTCACAAAATTCATTTTATTGAATCTAGTGCAAGAACATACTTGGATTCATTTAAAATTTTGAATAACTTAATCACATTTAAAGTGATTTGTTGCAGCTTGTTGGGCTAAAAATTCTGAGACGATATGAAGTGGAAATACTATATTGAATCCATTGCTAGGTTTGCTTGCTAAGAAAGTTGGGTCATTGTATCATGCTAAACAATTTTTCTCTGCAGAATCTATCTTGCATATTTATCGATTATACAGTTGTTCAGTATCATTGTACAATCAAAGGATGCTACCAATGATCCTCAAAGACCCAACAGAAGTGCTTTAGACAATTAGATCCATTGGTAGCATCATCCATGCTTTTAATACTGCTGCCACATTGTGTCTGGTGCTCCCTCTGTATATTTAGAGATTCTTAATAATCCAAAGAAAAAATCTGCAATAGTATTGGTCCTGACCTGGCATCTTGGCTTCAGTCACTTTTTTTTCTTGTTTGTCCACACTCAGTAATCCCTTGTGTCATAATGACTTCACTGGTTTGCATTGGGTGGTATGATTAAAAAAAAACCTAAAAAACTTCAAATCAAGAGAACTCTTTCATTGTAAGCTTAACCCTTAGATGGTGACATGGCAGAGGAATAGATAGCAGCTTGGATTGAGGAATTGGAGAGCAGAGTTCGAATTCCAGTCGAGTTAGTTACATTCATTTATATACAAATATCCTTGGAAAAGGTATGAATCCATCTTTTCTCCCTCCAGTTATGGGGAAATAGCAGGGCAGACTGGATTCTATAGCCTTGGGGGACAACCAGTCTAGGAGGAGAACAACTGAATTCAAAACCTCCAACTATGAGTAAATAGTAAAGTAGACTGGGTTCTTCAGCCTTGATCAGTAATCAGTCTAGGATGATAACTCTGAATTTAAAGTCATATGTAGCCCTTGTGTAGCACACACTATGCAGCTAATGAAAGGATCATGGAGTTTACAATGACTCTGTGATCTCGACTGTAGCCTTGATGTTTGAAGCTTAGGCCTCTTTACAATGATTCTATGATCCTAAGACCTACAAATCAATCTTGTCTCAAATTAAATTCTTTCTGTTATTTGTTGTTTTCTCTATATCGGAAGCAAAAATTGAACACGACTTGCAGTTTGTGAAGTGGAATTATCTAACTTACAAGCTGCTCATACTAGACATCAGGATTCTATATTTGTAATTCAATTTTACTAATGATATTTTTTTCTGGGTTGTTGATCAATTTGCATATGAGACTTTTGTTCTCTCTCATAATCACACACTGATAAATAGGTAGAGTGATTAAAAGGGTAATTATTATAGAATTAAATGTAAGTTAGAATATTATGTAAACAAAGTACAAAGTATAATTATAAAATTATTAATGACCTGTTTATCACCTAGTTGAAGGACATTAAAGTTTGTAGTTTCTATCACATCACAAAAATTCAAAATAAATCTTATTGAATCTGATTGGAGGTAAATCACCTGGTGTTCAAATATCATTGAAGTTTACTTGTTATATTATAACAAAGGTGAAGACATCTATTTATTTTCTGCATCTTCTGTGGTATAGATTTTTTTAAGTGTTTCTGTGCAAAACCAAAAATACATAAATTATAAATTCTTTTAGTGTACATCTACATAAATATCATAGGTATATATCTATATATTTTTTAATACATTCACCCCAAGCAAGGTAGTAATGTCACTAAGATGCAAGAGCCTACTGAAAGTGAAAGAGAATGAAAAAAAAAACTTTACAAGGAACCTGAAGTCCAAACCTAAACAGAAAACAAAGGATTATTACGATTCATGATGATGATGATGAGGATAATTCATCATTCTAGAAATAAAGATCTGAAATTTCATCATTCTAAAAACAACCTCTCCACAACTTATGTTTCATAAGGATGATGATGATATTTCATCATTCTAGAAATAAAAATCTGAAATTACATCATTCAAAAAACAACTTTTCCACCACAAGCAGTATTAAAAAGAAAAACACAGACATATCTTCTTCACTCCATGAAAATCCAGATTTGACAGTTTCAAAGTCTTCCTTTAACCACAAAATTTTCAGAACAATTATAAAAAAGTAAGCCCAAATTTTAAAGAAATGAAAAGTGAAAATAACCTTGAGAACATTTAACACACACAAAACCAATATAGTAAATAACCTCACAAAGAGAAGAATACACATTTTTGGATTTAATTATATGTTTTAAAGTCCTATTGGTGTATGTTATGGTTTTATTCATTTCATTTTCAGTATAAAAAAAGAGAAAAGGAATTCTCTATCAACTACTAATACATGTAACACGGGGTAACTTACATTAAGTAACCAACCTCCACATTGTTACAGGATAAACCTCTACTCCTTTTCAAAATTTGAAGAGATGTGTGAACCAGATGATAAGTGAAAATATCTACTATTAAATTCTAACAATTGTAAGAAAGTTATACTTACAATCAGAAGATGCAGTTGGAATTCTTAGGGCACATAAGAAAGAAAGAAGGCTTAGGAAATTTGACACTCACAGGACATATTGAAGTCATGAGGGACAGAAGAAAAGCAGCACATAACCTAACAAGCTTGTGTTAATGGTTGATGGAACAGAAATTAGAAGAGATAGAAAAAGAAACTTCACAAAGGACAGAATGTTGTGGAGTGCCATGATCA